AGAAGAAGAAGAAGAAGAAGAAGAAGAAGAAGAAGAAGAAGAAGAAGAAGAAGAAGAAGAAGAAAGAAGAAAGAAGAAGAAAAATTCTTTCTTTAAGAAGCTCAGAAATAAGCTTAGAGGTTAAGAAGTGAATGTTGACTAAAAGCAAAACCACAGGGAAAAGTAAGGAAATATTTCTGAATTTATTTGGAATAAATAAATTCAGATGCATCCAACTCTGGATCTTGGTTGAGTTTCCAGATTGGATGAGAAATTTCAGACTCTCAAGAGACTGACTTGCTCATTCTTATTGGAAGCCAAAAGACGGTGACAGTCCACAAAGCTGGCTCTGGTGGGAACATGACCATGGCTTAGTAAAGGTGGAGTCATCTGGCAAGGAGCGCTGATGGGTGGGTGCAGGTCAGGCTGACTCTCCTGCTGACAGTGTCCTTTCTCCACTGACTAGTCCCCCAGACCACAGCTCTGGTCCTGATGGCCACGGTTCCTGTGTAGGAGACTCATGAAGACCCACGGCCTTCCTGTTCCACAGCCAGTGTTCTCTGAAGATGGAAACCCAGATTCAGAATTCAGGGTTGGGGAATTTGTTTCCCTGTCTTCAGACTTGCTATTCATCCCTGTTCATTACAGATCATTCCTGTAGCCCCGGTATGAGCTAGACCTATGTGAGCAGGTCAGTTTTAGCCTTGGCCCCATCTCCACTCCTACAGGGTTACCCAGAGCTGTGGGGAAAAGGGTGGGCCTCAGAGATGATGCTCATTTGGGGAAAGAAATTAAAATTGCTAGACAAAGCATTGTTGTTTTCTGATGAGGAAAAGGTGCATGAGGGACTGGGCGCAGTCGTGCATGTCTCTAAACCCAGTGGCTTGGGAGACCAAGGCCGGAGAATCGCGAGTTCAAAGCCAGCATCGGCAATAGCAAGGTGCTAAGCAACTCAGCAAGACCCTGTCTTTAAATAAAATACAAAATAGGGCTGGAGATGTGGTTAATTACCCCTGGATTCAATCCTCATTGCAAAAAAAAAAAAAAAAGAGAGAGAGCGAGAGAGAAAGAGAAAAAAAAGTGCATGAGGCTAGGGCATAGATGTTACTCCTGATTCACTCCATTATAAAATACACCTTTCAGGTTGGGGGTGCTGCTCAGTGGAAGAACACTTGCCTAGTATACCCACGGCTCTGGGTTCTATCCCAACTCTGTGAAAAAGAAGAAAAAGCCCTCTAGTTTCTTCTTTTTAACATATTTAAGTTCCAGATTCTTTGTGGATAATATAACAGATACCTCTGGTATTCATACCTCTGTAGATCTTTATAGATTATACTTTTCATAAATTGTTACACAGGAGATGAATGGACATAGCCTTGTCATTGTGCCTTAGAATCTTGGGAATGGAACAGAACTGTCATCCAATTTCTCTCCTAAATGCTTTATAATAATTATGACTGCTCCCAGGGCTTCTTGGAGTCATGTCAATCAATCCTATTTTTCTTTCAAGGTAGAAAAACAAGGGTAGATTGAAGGATATATAATAACAACCCCCATGAAGAAAGGATGGGTCCTGGGTGGGGAAGGCAAACATTGGGCTCTGAGCTTTGGACTTGCATCCCAGAATCAATGGGTTTTGAGCTTTTACAGTTGTTTTCTTGATTAGGCCTTTGAACTGGCACAACTAGTTTGCTAATTGCCCAAGTCTCTAATGATTGAGTCACGCTAAACATTCTGCTATGATTGACTGTCACTAAAATGGATAAGAAACAGACCTCTCTTGTAACCAGTAGCCCTTTTTCTTTTTTTCTTCTCTTTTTTTATTTGTTATTTTAATTAGTTATACATGACAGTACAATGACCTTGACATATCATACATTTGAATCAGATGGGATATAATTTCTCATTTTTCTGAGTGTACAGGTTGCAGAATCATATTGGTCATGCAGTCACATATATACACACAGTAATGTCTATTTCATTCTACTATCTTTCCTATTCCCCCATCCCCTCCCCTCCCCTCCCATCACTTCTCTCTACTTAATCTATTTTTTTTTTGGGGGGTAGCCATTTTTCTCCCCTGAAAATGCGCCATTCTGCCGCTACTTAATCTAGACAGCTTACTGATCATTGAAGTCTGTTCCTATTTTGGTCATTTTGCTTCCACAAGTGAACTAGATACTCTGGGTCCATGTTAGAAATATGGCAACTTTGTTACTTTTCCTACTTTGGACCCCAGGAATGTGGGAAAATGCTAGACATACATATTCACATTTGGATGCTCCGTTTGTAAAGTCCCGCTAATGATCCCAAAGCTCTTAATTTATAATACAAAATGGAAACTGATTTGAGTAAAGACAATATCCTCAGGAACTAATATGTACGAGAGCGTTAGTTGTTAGGAAAAGTGATGCTGGGAACTCTTGAGAGGCAAGGAAACCTCCTAAGCCGCATTTCTTTGGTGGTTTTTGCAGCTATTTGAGTAACTTCCTGCCACTGCTGTCCCCCAGCTCATTAAGGGTTTGTTCTTCAAAGATGATGAATCTGGGAACACTGCCCTGGCCCCGAGTGACTCTTCTCGCTGTGTCCTGGCCCAGATGGTCAGAGTGCCACTTTACTACAGTGTGTGGAAATACCAGGCTATCACCCTATCCTGGTGCGTAATGACGTGCCTGGACTCGTTACTCACCTCAGCTCGTGTTGCTGTGGGGCTATTTCACCATCGTCTCCATTTCAACTTCCTATTTCACACCGTCTGCCACCCCTTCCAGTAAACGTCCTCTCCTGTCCAGCGAAAAATCTCTCTCCTGCTCCTTCTCCACTCCCAGCTCTCAGAGGCAAACAAGAGCCTTTGTAAGTGGTTCTCAACCTCATAGTGCTGTACCTGGGCAAGACTGATCTCCCCCAAATGAAGGAGTTCCTGATTTGGCAGTCTCTGGGTTTTGACCTCCTGAATTCCCAGATCTAGTGTTCCTCTCAAGGCACAGACCAAAGGGAGGAAAAGTCAAAGAAATACCTGTCCATGTTGTTCTTTGGAGGACAGCCTTGCCCTCTCTGGTTTTCTTATCAGCAACTACTGTAGATTTTCATCTACAATTTCACCATATATTCATTTTTTTAACTATCATGCAAATCACCAAAATTTGAATGCTAGAGAGTTCACATTTTCATATGATCACCCATAGAAATATGCATATATGTAAACTCTAATTCTATTTAAATTAAACAGGCACACAAATATGCATATGGTTTCTCCATTCTGTTTGTTAAAGTAGACACATACATATAATAGAGGGGTATTTATTTATAAAAAATTTTAGTTTGGGGAATTATAAATGTAAGATGTAC